AATACTCTATCCCAATACAATTTTTCCTTATCCTTATATTTACAAACGAATTTCAACCGGGCATCTCTCTGTCTTTTCAATAGCAGTGAAGTTTTCCGAGGAGAACGTAGCTTTAGATTATTTCTATGAATTTCATTGTTTATTGTACGTTTAGTGACACAGAATCCTGATGAAAGTAAATTATAATGCAACTCTTGACGTCATTTGTTTAAGATACGATTCGAGCAGATATGAGTGTTCGAGAGAAATCATAGGAAATTTTTAGTTTAAAAGCAGTAATTCGACCTTGCTAAGTAGACGCTTCTTCTGTAGCTAAATGGTATAACACGTTAGGTTATATGGCGGTTTCGTGTAGGATACATATCCGATTCCTATGAAATTTCTCGAACATTCGGGCCGGTAAATTTTGTTAATACTGTTTATTATAAACGGAGCATTTACTTAAATTCTTGCATCTATAAAAATAACGTATACGCAATAAATATCTTAAAATAATTGTCGGACTTAGTCCATTTCAGAATACACACACACACAGATATACATATATATAGATACTATCAGAATAGGTATAATTTACGTATTACGTATTAATTTTTCTATGTAGATATCTATTTTATTTATTGGACGCACTGATCTTGTGTGGTGTTAAACGAAACTCTGAATAAAGAAGATAAGTAGAATAAACATTTATTAATCAATTATTTTAGTGACTATATGTAGAACATGTCGGGTATTTAAGAAAAAAGATGAAGGAAAGAAAAGAAAAAGAATATAAATGAATTTGGCTAGATTGCAAAAAGTTATTTCAAAAAATTAATTCAAAGAATTTTGAAACTACCAGCGTCTCTCGTTCATGTGCATGTGTAGTCAGAACAACTTCAACAAACACAGTCCGATGAAGTCCTAACGGATGAAACGCGTCACAAATAATCTTTTTTTTCCATTTTTATATACAATATATATATATATATATATATATATATATATATATATATATATATATATATAATTCTGCACCATATATCCTAATAGTGGATATATTGGTGAATCTGGAAATAATTTTAGATTTCGCTTCAACAATCATAAGCAAACCATACGTCAAAACAATCCTTATTCCCCCACAGCTGAACACTTTAATCAATCAGGACACTCATTAGAAAACTGTAAATGTTTATTGATAGATTCTGATTTCAGTTCCACATACACACGCAGAAAAAAAAAAGAAAAATACTGGATTTTAAAATTAAATACATATAAACTAGGGTTAAATAAAGACTTGGGTATTTTGAATCTTTATAAATATTTCAATAGTTAAACATTTTTTTAGATATAGTTAAAAAAATTTTTTTTAAACAACATCTAAAATATTATTACAGTTAGATTTACGTTAAGAATATTCAAACACAGTGGCGTTCCATATCATGTGACGTCCACATCTCGCGACGGACGCTACTTGTAAACAAACAGTTATTTCTGAAGAAAGATTGAGGTCAATCTGAAATATCAAATATATATATAAATAAATAAATACTTTCATAAAAAACATTATTATTTTTTTGATTTGCAACTTTTTATATATATATATATATATATATATATATATTTATATATATATATATACTCTCGTCTGATGATCACGAGAGCGTGAAAATTAAGTAGCTACTTGTTAAGGGGGTGACACAGTAAAATGGTTTTCATTTATATGCAGGGTGAGATGGGTAAATTGTCGCCGTTTTTTGTTTTTTTTTAAATTTCTTGTGTGCTTTGGTTTTGATTTTGTCGACTACGCAATATAGCCGGATCAGTTGCGTGCCGTCTGTGAGAAAAACGGGCACCATGAATCAATTCACTCCGCCAGAAATTTGGAAACCCCATGCTGTAATGATTGGCTTTCGCACCGGGAACTCCAATAAGTACATTTCCGAGTGTTTGGATGTCAATCTGCTTACAGCGCAAAGAATTCGGGAAGAGTTGGATGGTGACTAAGAAGGTACGGCAGCTCGGAAATCTCACTCTGATAGTTGTGAATTTGATGGCGAGATCCAGACCACAATTGAAAAAGATCCCTCCTAGTCAATGAGGTCCATAGACAGGGAGGTTACATAACCTGGGTCAAAATGGTGGCTGCTGGAAGACGCTGTGTCTGGCAACATGGTTCTTCACCATACCAAACAAGCAGGAGAACCCAGCCACCGCTGTCGGACAATTTCGGCGACCACATCACCCCTTATATCTGGCCACCTAACTCCCCAGACTGCACTCATTTGATTATTATGTGGGGGGCGCAGTTGGGCAAAAGACCAACAAAACTACTACTTTAGGCACTTCGAGGCGGTGTAATGGTTAACAAGCTTGTCTTCCTAGAGCAATTACAACTGAGTAGTGAGTTCGATCCTCACTGGGTACCCTATACTTTCGACCTTGTGCCACATCTAAGCTATACTTGGAAAATCACTATAAATTGGGCACCTTGATGTAGTGTAATGGTTAGCAAGCTTGTCTCGCTAGAACAATTACGAGTGAGTAGTGAGTTCGATCCTTATTGGATACCCCATACTTTCGGCCTTGTGCCACATCAAAGCCGGGCTTAGAAAATCGCTTGGGCACCCCGGGGCGGTGTAACGGTTAGCCAACTTGACTCGCTAGAACTTTTACGACTGAATATTGAGTTCGATTCTCACTGGGTGCCCCATACTTTCGGCCTTGTGCCACATCTAAGCTATGCTTGGAAAATCACTACCCTTGTATTGTTATCGTTTCTCATTTATGTTTTTCTTTTCTAATTCTTTTCCACTCAGTGAGTTAATGTCTTAATGGCTTTACTGCCTTATTTAGGGTGAATTCGATTAATATATATATATTTAAAAGAATTCATCTAAACTCAACTTAAAATTTGTAACCACTATATCTAAAACAATCAAAAGCTTAATAAAAGACAAAACAACAAGCCTAAACTTGGAGGAGGAATTTACTCTGTCAAATGCAGGAATTACCAACTTGAATAGATTGGAGAAACCATAAGAATTTTAAATAAAAGACTATATGAACACAAAAGGAACATTAAAACAAAAAACAAAAAAAATAGACAACACAAAACTGACAGGTTGTTCGCCGTAATGAAACTGACCATAATTTTGACATAGGGAATGCTAGTTTGATTAAAAGACAAATTAATCCACTAAGACGAAAATGTCTGGAAATTATCTTGGTCGCTAGTTCAGCCACGGTAAATTTACACCCACGCTCTTACAATATATCTCCATTCTTGGTAGTTCTTCTATCGTCACAATGCGAGATAGTCAGGGACAAAAGTGATAGACAGAAAAAGAATACAGATGAATTTGGCAAGATTGAAAAATTATTTGTCTATATTTCTGAGATGAGATGTTATGTACAGTATATCCATTATTCCGACTATTGTATTGTCCTCATCTTTTCATCTTTATTGCCATATTTATCACACTGTTTCGGCCATTGTACGCTCCGGCCTTCTTCAGGCGTTTCGAATGTCGAACTGAACCCTTTATTTCGCTCACTGGGGTAGACTGTTCTAGTTCCACGTGCCATGTCTAATGAATGTCAGTTATCTCCTGTTAATTCCCTTCTCTAAGTTCTTTACTGCCTTAACCAGGTATTGAACTCACAGTCTTTGGGTCCTATCTCTGGATCTAACGCCTTTTATCCATTGTGCCATGTGTCCTTGAGGCGTTAGTAAAAATACCTGGTTAAATACCTGTCACAACAAATATGCATTTTAAGGCATGACCCACTGATAGTAGATTTCTTGTTCAACTTGACGTCCTTTTGATCTTGCCGAAGTGACCTCCATCTTCTGGATTTCTCCTTCTATATTTTAGAGAGGAGTCATTCCCTTGTTCAATTTTGAATTTAATTTAAAAGAAAGGGACAAAAATTTTCAGTGGGAGGGGGAGGGCGTTTATTCAGATAACCTAGGATTCATTTCCGTGTTTAAATTTAAATTTAATTTAAATCAAAGAGGAAAAAAATCAGTGTGCGTTTTGTGTGGCCACCAGCGGCCACCTTTGATCAAAATGATCTTGCCGGTGTGACTTCCATTTTCTGGCTTTCTCCTTCTGTATTTTGGATAGTAGTCATTACCTTGTTCAAATTTAAATTGAATTTAAATCAAAGGGAGGGGGAATTTCAGTGGGGTGGTGTGCCCCCAGGTGGGGGGAACGCCTTTGTTCAAAATGAAAGATACTTATCAAAGTATACTAGGATTCATTACCTTGTTCAAATTTAAATTGAAATATACATATCAAAGTATACTAGGATTCATTACCTTGTTCAAATTTAAATTTAATTTAGATCAAAGGGAAAACTTTAGCAATGCAGTTTATATGTGGTTATTGGGGTTTATCTCCAAAACTCAAGGAAGAATTCGATAACAAAGAAACAGACAGACAAAGGCTAAAACTTTATATATATATATATATATATATATATATATATATATATATATATATATATATATATATATATATATATATATTCCTTAATACATATGCTATAAAATACAGAGTAATATAAAAATTAAATATATATAAAACCTAAAATAATTTTCGCTGTTTTCCCTTGACTTTTTATGCGTACAGGCTGTTTATTCGTCGATGGCGCATCGTCATTAGTAATTTTCGATAACACATCTTGTTTATTTGTATTTTATTCACCTTTGTTCAGTCACTTTGTAACTACTAATGCAAAGACACATATCGACGACTTCATATTTTATCGTAACTTGTTTTCGCCAGCGGCAGTTTTTTTTTCTTTTTCATTTCTTGCTATTTCAAAGACATAAATGGTTGAAAGAACTGATTACAAAATAATGCCTGCGGAAAGATAGTTTATTTCCCCTTTTTTTAGTGTCTTTAACATTTTAAGAGAAAAGAAAAGCAAGTAAAATCATATTCCCCCAATAAAGTCATCTTTTCCCAAATATTTGAGCTCCCGGCAGCCGTGTTTTAATATTTCAAAGTCGCATGTCTTATAGGGATTACTTGTGGGAGAATAATAAGAAAAAAACTGTGTCAATTAATATTTTAAATATATTTTTTCAGAGTATTGTCTTCGTATTTATGTTTAAATTGTAATCTATCTATCTATCTATCTATCTATCTATACATTAAAGAAGATATGTATTTATTCCCTTCCTCTCTCTCTCTCTCTCTATCTCTCTATCTATCTATCTATCTATATATATATATATATATATATATATATATGTTTGTTCATATCTTAGCTATTTCGTTTTCCTCGCTCTTATTTTCTCTGTTCATATCTATCTATCTATCTATCTATCTATCTATCTATCTATCTATCTATCTATCTATCTATCTGTCCACATCTTCTTTATTCCCCACCTCTCTCTACCCTGCTGTTTCTTCATATATATATATATATATATATATATATATATATATATATATATATATATATATATATATATATATATATATGTCAGTTCATATCTAATCTATTTCTTTTTCTTCTTATTTTTCTCAGTCTGTTTCTATCTATCTATCAATCTATCTATCTATCTGTCTATCTATCTGTCTATCTATCTGCCTGTCTGTCCATATCTTCTTTATTCCCCACCTCTCTCTACTCCTCTGTTTCTCAAATATATACACACACACACACACACACACACACACACACACACATATATATATATATATATATATATATATATATATATATATATATATATATATATATATATATATATATATATATATATTGTCCATATCTACCTATTTCTTTTTATTCTCTCTGATTTTTCTCAGTCTGTTCATATCTATCTATCTATCTATCTATCTATCCATATCTTCTTTATTCTCTCTCTCTTTCCTATCACCCCCTCTCTCTCTCTCTCTCTCTCTATATATATATATATATATATATATATATATATATATATATATATCAGTCCATATCTACCTATTTCTTTTTATTCTCTGATTTTTCTCAGTCTGTTCATATCTATCTATCTATCTATCTATCTATCTATCTATCTATCTATCCATATGTTCTTTATTCTCTCTCTCTCTTCCTATCACCCTCTCTCTCTCTCTCTCTATATATATATATATATATATATATATATATATATATATATCAGTCCATATCTACCTATTTCTTTTATTCTCTCTGATTTTCTCAGTCTGTTCATATCTATCTATCTATCTATCTATCTATCTATCTATCTATCTATCTATATCTTCTTTATTCTCTCTCTTCCTATCACCCCCTCTCTCTCTCTCTCTCTATATATATATATATATATATATATATATATATTTATATATATATATATATATATATATATATATCAGTCCATATCTACCTATTTCTTTTCTTCTCTCTGATTTTTCTCAGTCTGTTTATATCTATTTATCTATCTATCATGTTCTGTTCATATGTCCTCTACCCCCTCTCTCTATATCAAATTCTGTTCTGTTCATATATAATCTAGCCACCCAACCCTCTATCTGTCAATCACATTCTGTTCATATCTTATCAACACTTCTCTTGCTATCTATCGCAATCTTTTCATATCTAATCTATTCGCCCACACTGCCTGTATCAGTCTCTATCTCTCTATCTTTACTTAGTTACATAATAAAAAGGTGTCTTAATAATCGGGGGGTGTATAAATTGACGGGGAGGAGCATTCTACATAGTTCCTGGTCCCTCCCCACTAAATTCCCCTCAGAATTTTTGAACCTCAAAGTACATATCCTTGATGCTCATTTTGATAGATTCAAGGGTAACAAGGTGCCGTACCCAGAAGAGTAGGCGAGAACTTCTACAAGGATATACTAGACTTCGAACGACCCTACCAACGATTGTATAAAAAAACATGACGTCAGACTAAATTTTAGCGGCTGATTCGTGAAAGTAATTTGCAGTATAAGCGTAAATCGCAAAAACTACTTACTTATAATTTTTTTTGCTGTCTCTCTTGTGTAATCAGGGAATGTATAAATGCTGCTTTTGAATCATATGCCGTTTTGTTTTTACTTTCTGTGAACGAGAAAATTCACATTCGCCAGTTTTCCCAATGGGAATAGGTAAATTGCAGAAATATCATTATCCTCGTCACAAAGCAATGTTTGAAGGAAATGGAAGCAGTTTTTTTTAATACTTTCTAGGCGTAAACAAACAGGAAATAAGCATTGCAGCCCAAAGATACAAATCTTGTTAAACAGTGTTATTCAATCCAACAGTTTCATTATTTCAAACGTAACCGGTAGATGTAATACGCACTGTTAAAAAAGTCGGGGTGTATATTCAAACACACAAACAAGCGCGCGCACACACACACACGCACACACACACACACACACACATATCTATATATATATATATATATATATATATATATATATGATGGACTATCCCGTCGGTTTCGACGTATGAGGTTCCGACAACTTTGTTTATTTAACCTTGTGTGTGAGTCGCAAGTGACATTTCAGTCCTGCTAGTGTTTTGCAAAGAAGTCCACAGACTGTGCAAGAGTGTGGATTCTTGGAGTATATGACTGGAACAGCAGCAGATATTTTATTCTTTTCCCTAGTTTGACGAAGCTTGACAATGTTTGATGCTGTCTTGTTTTTGATGCCATTGTAGCATGTATTCTTCCCTTCATTACAATCAATTACAATGTTCTCAAATATAGTGTGATTTATATTCGCAGCTAAGAGGTTACTCTTCAGCCTGTCCCTGTACCTAAGCAAAGGCCGACCCACGTTTCGATGACCATTGTCAAGTTGACCATACATGAGCATTTTTGGAATTCTGTTGTCTTGCATACGTAACACATGACCTGTCCAGCGCAATTGTGATTTCATGAGAAAGGACTCAATACCATTAATATCACACATGGGGAAAAGGTCTGAATTTTCCATTCTGTCGCTTAGGTTTACCCCACAGATTTCCGAAGACAGCCTTTGTGAAAAATATCTAATTGCTGAATTTGCTTTCTGTATAGTGTCCAGGACTCTGAGCCATACAAAAGTGTTGTGAGAACTACAGCCTTGTATTTTGGTTCCAAGCCTAATATCACGATCTTTCCACAGTCGATGACGAAGTTTTCCGAAGGCACAAGAGGCTTTTGCTATTCTATTGATTATCTCATCATCCAGTGTTCCACTTGAATTTACTTTGCTGCCAAGATAATATATATATATATATATATATATATATATATATATATATATATATATGGTGGACTGTCCCGTCGTATTCGAATTATGAGGGTCAGCAATTCAGTTTCTAGAAAGCGACAGCCCAGACACCAGAACATATGATTTGATTATTATGGTGAAGGCTTTGTGCAGAACCAACCACACTTTTTGAAGGGCCGAATACAGTGACCTTGTGCACTACGTGCTACAACATCCCCAAACAACCTTCCACAAATTTTGAATTCAGAGTTGTCCTTCTAAACCAGTTGCTATCTAAGGCTATAGAAACCAGTCTGTCTTGCTAATTGCATATAACTTAGAAGAAGTAGATTCATACATTTTTCAATGGTATTAGCATGTAAGTGAATGTAATGGATTCGACTGTAATTCCAACACGGCCCTCCGAGCCCTCAGTACATATATATATATATATATATATATATATATATATATATATATATATATATATATATATAATGTGTCTGAGTGTGTGTGTGTGTTTTTATATATATATATATATATATATATATATATAGTGCTCGGTAAAATGGCAGCGGTAAAAAAATGGCAACGGCAAAAATGGCAACGTAAAATGGCAAAAGTGGATAAATAGGGAAAAATAGCAATTCGACAACAGAAAATTATGACCGTTCGAGAAGGATGGGTCTAAGCTCCCATTTTTCTAGTTTAAAATAGGGCTAAGTCCCCGCCTAAATATTTTAAAATAAATATTTTTAAATAGATATTTACTCTAGTGAGGAGGGAGCTAGGCTCCTTCTCCTCTTGTTTTTAAATCAGGGTTAAGTTCCCGCTCCTAGTATTTTTTTAAACATTTTTTTTAAATTTTCTTATTTATCCATTTTTACCGTTGCCATTTTTACCGTTGCCATTTTTTCCGTTGCCATTTTTACCGCTGCCATTTTTATCTAAATTCATATATATATATACTGAACGTTGGCGTTTTATCTTTTTTTTAAATAATACTTTCAGAGCGTTTTCGGCTAGACTATTAGCCATTATCAAGGATGATTTTTTTTTTACTTTTAGCTGAATATATGGATTTTATGTATGTTTTAAGCGTTATAGGAATGTTTTTAATTAAGTTGTTGCGTGGTAGCGTTAAGTTTGTTTTTTTATTTATTAATAATGCTTCCAGTGCGCTTTCAGCTATACTTTTAGTCTTTACAAAAAATGATTTTCCTTTTGCTTTTAACAGAATACATGGACTTTTTATGTATGTATAGGCATAGCCATACAGGAAGTAACAATTGCTACCCAAGGACAAAAATCTTGTTATATAGTATAATGATATCAGATGTTGAGGTTCGACCTTACTTCAGATAAAAGGATAAGAAGGACGCCCCCGTCAATTTTAGAAAGCATGATAACAGATTATCGATTTGAGATGTCGATTTTTCTGTAAAATTATTTCAAGACAGACATTTTATAAATTATAAACGACAGCAGTAATATCAACTTCCTACGAGCCTAGAGGAACTGGAGAATGTTACGCAAGACATGCTACAGCGTGTTCGGCATGAACTGGACAACCGACTTGACGTCTCTTCGTGTCACAAGTGGTGTTCATATAGAACATTTGTGAGATCGTTTATACAATCTACATCCCTTTGAATATCTAGTACAAATTTTGATAAATAAATTTTTTGTTATTCAACATGAAGCCTATTTAATTTCATTTGCCTGGGACATGTTGTTACTCATGTTTTAAATGAAGTCAATATTTTTGGGACACCCAGTATTAATACCGTAGGTTATATATCATAGCCGGTTGATTTTGCTTATGTGGCGCCAACATTTGAGCCATAATGGCTTTTAGTTCTTCATTTAGCTGCACTCTGCTGAATGAATCTTCGCATAAGTTCAAGAAATCTTTGCGAATCCTTGTCGCCACTTTTTTGATGTCAACGAACACTCGTTGCCACTTTTGTGATGCCAACGAATACTCGTTGTCACTTTCGTAATGCTCGTTGTAGCAGAGACTTTGTAATCGCAGATACAACTATAGTAACGCCGTTGAACAATACTGGTGTCAGACGCCTTCGAATAACACTAGCACTAATAGTACTTGCTCGATAATACTCGCTGGAACAGAAATCCGTATGGTGATCCGTATAGAGAAATAGTACCGTGAATCGAGTAGAGAATAGCGGTCTGTATAGTAATAGAGGAGAGAGCAGAAATGGTGATCCGAAGAGAGAGGATAGACTAGAAATGACGATCAATTAGACACACGCTACCTCCCATATATGTGTTTCCTCTATTGGCACGTGGTCTACTTAATTCAATAATGTGATCGCGTGTGTTTGCTCACTGGCGATCTATGTTCAAACTCAAGTGTCGGCAGCGACAATTTGTTCGTATATAACACTGGAAATACCAGGGATGGAGCATGTGAGCAACGAGGAAGTGGGAAATAAAAATGGAAACATTTTTACGGCTTATCAACCTTTTGAAGGTTGTTTAAAGTCAGAAAAAATATTTTTAGACCTTATGAATATTTTGGAGATGATACCGATTTACTGATACCAGTTCATCCAATTAACCCATAGCTGGAGGGAGAAGATGTGGATTCAGACCTTTGCTAACGGTATTATCGCGTAAGTGAATATAACAAACCCGACTGGAATTAGAAACCGGCTCACCGATTAACAATTCCGAGACGTTATCCATTGCGCCACCCGCATGTACAACTTTACAGCACCTGGTTTTCCCAAGCGGTCACCCCTCGTGGTATTGGCTAGACTGGACGATGCTTAACTTCGGTGATCGTACGAGAACCGGTGTATAAATGTTGATATGGCTGTAAACCTCGTCTCCTTTATTTTTTGGCTATGGTTGTTAATTATTGTATTAAGTCGGTGTCCATTTTGAATTTTCTTGGTAAACATTAATCCAAAGCTAACGTCTTTCAATTCGGTGTTGGATAGTTCTAGATATGACAGATTTTCTATCAGTTCTGGTCGTCCAATGTTTTTTCCATCGGCTGTTGGTATTAGGGTGTTTAGGTTTTTTTGGTCAATTTGGTTGATGCATATACATTTTATTGTCCGTAGTAAATGGGCCACATCAGACTTCAACATAACGTTCATATGTTTTTTGGCGTTTCCATGTTTCGTATTTTGAGTCCAATTTTTATTTTGACTTTTAAAGTCTAATATATGCTGGAATCCACCGATTAATGCGCATTAGGTTAATGCGTTTTCGATTAGTGAGCTAAAATTTTTAGAAATGGATTATACTCGATTAGTGCGATAAAACATTCTTCAGTTTAAGAATAGTAATTGAAAATTGATGCTGCTAAAAATGGGGAATAGAGGACAAGAAAGCAACAAAACAAGTATTATTTATTACCTGGTTCTTACGTGGTGTTGGAGAGAGGCCGTAAAATTGTGAGTTTGTGGTCAAATGTAGATTAAATATCGATAGGGATCTGGCAGAAGGATAAGATAAAGAAAAAGGTTCACGTTAAAGAATAAAACAGTTTTGGTGTGAAACTCGGAATAAGAATCATAGTTCGGGAATTATTTTCCTGATTAAATTTCTTTTTCCTTATAATTTTATTTCTGTAAAAAAAACCCGCAGGGTTGCGTAATTTTGTTTTACAACCGCTATTTTAATCAGTGGCACAGATTGTCGATTATTAGAAATTTAAGCTGACTGAGCCAGTATCGTCTGCTTTGCCGAGAAAAAATGGACTCTGTGTTAAGCTCTTGCATAAACTTTTGAATTTCAAAAGCATTTTTGGACCTTTCTCTTTTGTGAGAAAACAACTGTATTTGGTTTTCACACGAAACTAATCAAAATGTTTTCCTCCAAATTCCGAGAAGCAAATCTGGCGTCTACCTTGTTGAAAAAAAAAACAAAAAATGAGAATTGAATTCTTTGTAGTCGACGAACAACTGCTGCAGGAAGCCAGGTCGGCCCGGTCAAGGAAAAAAAAACAACACAAAAGAAATTTGCCGACAAGCAGACGAAAATTTGAAAGGAATATCAGAAGTCGCTCCTACATCAAAGAAAATTCTTCAGCTGGTGTGATTGTTCTGTTCTTCGCTCTTACCACGAACTTTGCTTCGAAAATTGTACTTTTTTCTCCCTTTTTTCATTTATTTTTATGTTGTTACCTTTTCGGGGGACCTTATACAGCATTATTATTTTTTATTGTAAAAGAGGTATATATTATTTGCAGTATTTATTTGTACATACATGTTACTGTCCATCATTTGGCACACAACGCACTTGTGTAATCTTTCAGTTCCGTGTGTTAATAAACTTATCGTCTGTATTTTCTAAACTACACTCGTATCGTCTGTCTTTGTCGTGTGCCTTATAAATTAAACGTTACCTCAAACATTTGTTAGAACTATATTTGTTTACGTTGGGTATATTTTTTTGCCAAATAAAAAAAAAGCCTTTATGATCTGCTCGTGTATTATGTTACCTATAGTTTGACGTAGTCTCTGGTTTAAAACACAGAATTTTGTTCTTTCATTCCGACCGGAAAACACCAGCCTGTCAGAGATTTATTAACGACTAGCAGTAGAGCCCGGTGTTGCCCGGGGATGTAACAGTAAAAGAGATAGATCAAGTATCGACCATCATAAAGACTGAAAAATAAAATTGACAAAGATCATTGTTTAAGGTTGACGGACACGCATGTCTTAATTAGTTTTTTTTTTTTACGAATTGGTCAAACCTAAACTCAAACAAAAACATTGTTTTCAATCGTTATGAGTCTATCAATTGAATAGAATTTTATTATAAACAATTGTCTTGTAAATGGAATTTCTAAAGCATTTTGAATGTAAAATAAAGAAAAAAAAAAAGTGCAAGACAATAAGAAACACTACCTGCCAAAAAAGTGAAGTTTTGTTGAAATCCGATCCCATATATAGACGAACACACACACACACACACACACACACACACACACACACACACACACAAACAACCTGTGTTTTATAAGTATAACTCGATATGAGTTATTCTGGCGAGTGATGCTTCTTAATCGTGTTTTTAAATTGATTTTGCGCAAAAACAATTGTGTTTTCCAATTTTTTTCGCTGTCAGAACCACCGCAAGGTAATTTTACGTAGTCCTGTGAAGTTTTGTTGAAATCAGTTGAAAAATGTAGGAAATCCGATCCAATATATAAACGTACACACACACACACACGCACACACACACACACACACAATCTGCGTTTTATAATAAGTAAGATTTAGTATTGAAACACACACATACACACACTTCTTTTATTCTGAGATGGAGAAGCCTGCCTAATGAAGACGAAACGCGTCGTCATTTAAAGAGTTTTTCACCTTGATTTATCAAACTTTTGTACGAATTCAATGTCCTGCTAATACACATCCTGTCGACACGGAAAACGTAAAGACAAGCCTATAGTTTTATACCTTATATCATAAAATAAAAAAAATCTCTTGCTTTCAATTCCTTCTGGCAGAAATCGAGAAAGATTTACTTTAAATTTGTAACGGTGTTGAATGTTGCGTTGTTAAAGCAATTACTCCGTTGTTATTTCTGTTTGTATTTGATAGAAGAATCCTTTTCTATTTTATATTTGAAAATAAAATGAATAAAACGTACAACGATACCAACAGTAAGACTTTGAGACACGTGTTGACATTAATGATAAGAATGTGTATTTTTCTTTTCGTGATATTAATTACAATATTGGTAGTGTGTGTGTGTGTGTGTGTGTGTGTGTGTGTGTGTGTGTGTGTGTGTGTGTGTGTGTGTGTGTGTATCAAAAATGTTCTCAGTGTTATTATCTCCTTTTTTCTTTAAATGTTTCTGCTTACTTGTTTTTGCTTATTCCCAGAATTTCGAGGTTAAGGGAAGCATGTGAAACCGTTAACTATGGATTTTCACGGAGCGAAGAAGATACGTCAGTGTTGTTCTTTTTTACTACTGCTACTGTCACTCTACTCTGCTGACCGACACTATTGTCTTTGCTTGCGGTGTAAGGGTCGTTTTTTTTATGATGGTTTCAGATTTTAGAATGATGAAATATCATCATCATATATCATCATTGATGGCCAGGTTGTTTTAGATAATGGAATTTTAGTCTTTATTTCCTGGATGATGAAATATCCTTATCATCATTCATCACTGGTGGAAATATTTTTAGAATGATGAAATAACATCATCATTCTGGATGACAACAAATTCAATGCGGGGAGCTGGAAGAGTGTTGGAACAGAGCTTCCGACAGAGTAAGGAAAATTGGACTGGAACTTCAACAAAAAAAAATCTTATCAAAACCAGAGTCGGTTCATCTACGTTGACCTGTAAATAACATGAGATATAAACATAGGTACCTCCAAAAATCTGCTAAAAATGAGCATACCATGATGAAAAAAGATCCCAAACCTGAAAAAAATGTTTTATCATCAAAATATGTTTTTATTATTAAGAGGAAAGACCAAAGTATTTTTTTAATTATTTTCTTATTTTTTTTTAATCCTTTCAAGCACTTTCAAAATTTTGGTTAAAAATCTTGTTTTTCGTGCGTCAGCGGGTGAGCCAAAGATTATTATGCGAAATTTTACGTCTTTTTTGCGGTAAAAAAAAAAACAAAAAAAAAAAAACATTGTTTTGGAAATTCTTGTAAAATGAAATAATCATCGGATTTTAATCATATTTTCAGGACTTATTCACAAATAAATGAAAATATATTTTCTTCAGAAAATCTTGGTAAACATATTTTTTTTTAAATCTGTTACACCCCACTTACTTAATTTTAGGAAATTTTGAGAAATTAAAATACCACCTTTTCATATATCCATATGTTAATAGCAGGACTCCCTGGAAAATTGAAATCATCAATTTTTTTGTCAAAGAAAAACACTGTTTACCAAAAATCAGCTCTGAATCTTAAAAATAAAAAAAAAAACGTAATAAAACTATGGCATAATTTAATTAGAAAAGCTTTTAATTACTTTTATAAATTAAATAAACTATGGCCACTATTATATTAAGAAAATCCTTTTTCCGATGAATAATGAATTTTTACAATAATTGTTTTCATTTTTCAAGATCTTTTAATTAGAATTATTAAGTTTTAAATCTTTTAAAAATTCTGTATTAATTTAACCATTCTAGTTGATATTATTTAGTAAAAACTATATTTACTAATCATAACTTCTTTCTTATTATGTGCTATATTCTTTCACGATGTTGGAGATCATGGCTCTCCACTTTCTTTTATCCCTTACAGCTTTCAAAAAGTTCCTTCCCTCTGCTTCCACCCCCAAGACCACGTTCTGTCACCCACTTGCTTAAGTCCACCAGATATGTCACGCGTTGTTTTCCCTTGTCTCTCTTTCCCATTATTCGACACGTGAGTATCACATTCTCCAGGCCTTCCCTCCTCATTATATGTCCCAGAAACTTCAGCTTTCTTTTCCTGATATTAAGTATAAGCCTCCTCCTTGTTTTCAACCTCCCTAAGACCCCATCGTTGCTCACACGTTCGTTCCATGATATCCTTAGCATCCTTCTGTAGAACCACATCTCTGTCGCCTCGAGTCTCTTCTTCATCTTTGAGGAAATCGTCGAACATTCGCTACCGTAAAAAAGGACAGATGTCACGTAACCGTTCAGTATTCTTTTCTTTGTTACCAAAGAAATCCTCCTGTCTCGCAGTACTCTATATTAAATACATGTCTTTAATTTCTTACAATAATCTTTTGAAATTATGTATTTTTTATTTATTTATTTTATTCTTGAAGTAACTAAATGCAATCGCCACTTCTTCTCCGCCAGTTTCTTTTCTTACACTTCCCA